AGATTCTACTCCCAAAGTGACGTATTAAAAGTGGGGCTGTGGGGAGGTGGTTATGCCACGAGGGTGGAGCTCCCATGAATGGAATCTGTTCACAGCTAAAAGGAACCCCAGGGAGCTCTCCTGCTCTCTTGTGCATGGGAGGACAGTGAACAGATGGCATCTGTGAGCTTGGAAGCAATCCTTCACCAGACGCTGATTCTGCCCGCGCCCTGGTCTTGGACTTGCCAGCCCCCAGAACTGTAAGGGAGGCATAAGCACTGTTTAAGTCACCAACCTGCAGTATTCTGTTGTATCAACCTGGTTGGACTAAGCACTTCAGTGCTTGTAGCAAGAATGAAGGAGACCTCCATCTACTATCTTATGAGGAAATGTGTTTTTCTCATGACAAGAAAATGTGTTTGGATAAAGCCTAAGTCGGAATTCTGGTCCTCTCACAGGTGTGCTTTGGCAGCCAGTAATTCATCTGGACTAAAAATCACTCACGTGGTCTTAGTCTAACACAGCAGTTTTCTCTAATAGTGCCTAACAGGACTGTGAGTCACCACCACAACCTTGCAAATGTTTGATATATACATTTTGACCCCAAATGGTGACATCCCAGTAGGCTACTCTGGGGATATGTGAATGATCATCCTGGCAAAATTCAGTTTCACTGGAATGAAAAGTAGGGATAGTTGTGTTTCTACATCCACCTCCACACCTAGGGCAGGGTTTTCTCCTACCTGACCACAGCGTCATGCTTGCCTAAAATCATTTTAATTGGGTGCTCCACTCAACCACTAGCAATGAATCTGAGTTACCTGGATGCATGCTTATAGAAAATAATATTATTACTTAGTACTGTGCTTGAGTGTTTATTTAATGGCAAACTTTTAAAAGGAAAGGATGGGAAAAGAAGAAGAGACTTATTCTAAAAAATGAAACAGTCCATTAGCAACAAAAAATATTTGATATATGCATGCTACCTTTGTCTGAGAGACTGGGCTCTGTGACTTTAATAAAAGCTTAGCAAATGTCAAAGAATGATGGTGGGATGCTAGAAGACTCAAACCATTGATTTTCTGGTGGTTTCCCAAGCTTGCCTCATATCATTAATTGTTTCATTCTATAAGAGGAGAATAGCAATAGGATTCTGCAAGTGTTTCCACCATTAGGGACCCTTTGAGCCTCAGAGCTCTCTATTTAGTGTTTCAGTTGTTTGATGAGCAAGGATTCTAGACTGTGTATGAGCTGTAGAAGGTTGTGAAGCAGGGAATGTAAATCACCTACTTTTATTAATACATGTGTGTGTGCATACATACATGTGCACACATACGCACACACATACAGAGCTCAGACATTAACAGTAAAGAACAACAGTTATTCCCAACAACTGCCACTGAGACCTGAGACAAGAAAGTGGGTGAAATAGTGGTATTCAGAGTTTAAATCCATTGTCTACTACTTATAAACTATCTTATCATTGGGTAAAGGTGCTCTGAGCCTTGGATTCTACATCCATAAACTGGAATGGTGCTAAAAGCCACTCCAGACTGTTGAGAAGTTTAATAGAGATTGGTGCATGCACAATGATGTCTGTCATGCTTGGTTGAATATTATTATTTAGCTGAATAATGATATAATTATTATTATATGGTGGCAAAACAAATTCATTAGTAGTAAAATCCCATCTCAATGAATTTATTAAATGTAAATTGACTAATCCTGACTTCTAAAATCCCATTTCAGCTCTTTTGCTTTATTTCTCTGTGCCTCAGTATAACCACAGAGTCCCCTCTAGGGTCTCTGGCGCTCTCAAATTGCATGAGTCTGCCAAAGTTTAACTCTTATTGCACATCTGCTTCTAGGCAATTGAGGGAGTGGAATGAACATTTGTAGGTTTTACAATTTAGAAAGAATTACAATGATTACTTCATCTAAAACAGGGCTTTTTAACTGAGGTTCATAGCTGTGTCATGTTTCTGAGGCTCTTTGAATCCCCTGAAGCAGCAGACAAAATTTTGTGTGTGTAAATTTTTCTGGAAAGTGAGTCTATTATTTTCATCAGATTCTCTAGTCATCTGTGACATGACACTACCCACCGCCACCCACACACAAAACTTATGAACCAAGGATTTCTAAAGGTTCACAATTTTTTATTAAAATACTAATATTATAAATTATAATAGCATTATTTTGTACTTTCATGGAATAAATCAGTTCCAAAGGTAACACTAGAACCCCAGCTTGTTAGTTGAGCAGCAGCTAAGACAGTTTAGTACTGGTGTCTGAGTTAGGGTCCTCCAAATGCAGACTCGTGGTGGAGGCCTTGGGTTCCTTAAAGCTGTATTGGGAGAACTGGAAAGTCCAGTTACCCACCTTTCCCCTCCCACTTCCCCCTGACACTTGTGCTAAGGATTGACTGGGGAGTAGAAAAGCAGACCTCATAAGCAGAGGCCAGCCAGGACTTCCAGCATTTCTTCTGTCCTCTGAGAAGCAAGAAGCAAGGTAGCCATGATGAGGGCCTGGCTACCCCTCTTTCTCTTCCTGACCCTCCTCAGCAGCTCACATGGGACAGGTGAGGTGCTGGGGCACAGGACACCTGGGCCTTCATGGTAGGAAGATGCCCAGAGGAGAGTGAGAGATGGAGTTACCCCTGTCCTGAGCTCCCGAGAGTTCAGGGTTGAAGCTCTGCAGCCAGAAGGTCTGAAAAGGCTTTTTCAGGGAGGAGCTCGGGCTGGGGTGGGAGGGTCACTGGCATCTCCAATTGCAGGGTCCTAAGCTGAACTTTTGGAACACTAGGGCCAGGATTGACTTTGCAGCTGAAGCTGAGAAACTCCTGACAAATTTCTCCTGATTCCAGCTTCCTGGAATTGCTTGAGAAGGTAGTTCTTTGGGAGGGGAAAGGCAATCCAATGCCCAGGTCTCTCCACCTCGTTAAATAGAGGGATTCTGGGATGGACATCCTGTCTCTTAACACCAGTGTCAAGGACTAGAGAGACTCTGGGGAATTGACTGTTTGGGGAAACACACACACACACACACGTCAAAGTGGGATCTCCAGAACCCCTGAGAATAAGGGAAAGAGAAAGGTATTGAATTTCCACCTTATTCCAGGTGTGATGCCTTCCACTCTCAATACTTGCAGCAATCTTGGGTGTAGCATAATAGGCATCATTATTCAACTTTCTGGATGAGGAAATTGCTGCTTAGAGAGGGTAAGTTACTCATCTGAGATCCATTAGCAGTGAAGAGGTCAGATAAAAGACAAATGCCTGGGCTTTAAGCAAGCTTTCAATTTCCTCTCCCTTTGCTGAAGCTTTGGGGCTGAGGGCTTGGAACCCCAGACAGGGATGTGGACAGAACAGTCCCTGGACATGTCCCTGACCCAGAGACCTGCACAGATCAGATAGTAGGGGAGATGGAGGGAAGTGAAGGCCACATTTCCACATGGATCATCCCTGAAGATGCAGGGGCACAGGAAGTAGGCCAATGAAAAATAAAACTTACAAAATTCCTCTGGTTTCCTTTACAATTGTCCTGGAACAATTGGCCTAGAGGCAAGGTAGCTAGGAGCCCCAAAGGGCTTGGTATTTCAGGACTTGTTCCTGGGCTGTACCTGTGGGCAGGTGACACTCATGGGTCAGGTGTGTAGGCCCCAAACAGCTACCTGCTCCTTGATCTGATTCCTAGATCTAAGGGCCTGAGATCACCGTTCTGTGATTTCAGATTCTTTTCTCAAAGAATATTCTTCCCAGACTTGAAACAGAATAGTAGAGTAAAAACACCTTTGGGTCCACAAGACCTGGTGGCAGAAACTGCCAATGATCCCTAGTAGCCTCCTCCTCCTTTTAGATAGTTGTGTAAATTTTAGCTGAGCATATGGTCATTACAATTCCAGCCTCCCTTGCAGCAAGGAATGGCTGTGTGGTGAGGTTCTGTCCATAGGACACATGCAGAAAGGAAGTTGCATCTTCCTGGTGATACCCTTGAAGGAAAGGAGCTTCCATCTCAGAGGGAAGAAAAGTCCTTCTAGCAACAAGGTCCTAGACCAATGCTTTCCAACAACTTTCCATGACGACAGAAATGTTTTAGAACGTGAGCTCATCACTGTGGTAGCCACTAGCTACATGTGACTATCAAACACTTGAAATGTGGCTAGTGAATTGAATGTTTAGTTTGAACTTTTATTAACTTTAGTCAAGTGGCTACCATTTTGGACAGAGTCCCAGATGATCCATCTTGAGCCCTCCCTACCCACTGCCCCACCACTCACGCCATCCTTCCCCTCCCACTCTCCCTGGCTTCCATCACTGCCCATGTCCCTGCCCCCACTAGCCTCCTTGTTATCCTTAGAGCTCTTGGGGCATGTTCCCATCTTAGTTTTGCTCTGACTCTTCCCTCTTCCTGGAACAGTCTTCTCCCAGGCATCCACCAGCTGATTCCTGTAACCCCTGGAAGTCTTTGTTTAATCTCACTTTTACAGTGTTCTACTGTGACCCCCTATTTAATAATACAACCCGCCACCACACACAAATGATTCCCTTACCTTATTCTACCCTTTGTTCCCCATAGCATTATGACCTCCAGACACACCATTACACTCATTTAAGTGTGCTTTTCTGACACTCCCTGCTAGAATGAATGCACAGGAGCAGAGATCTGTTTCATTCACTGAGGAATCCAAAGGCCCAGAATAGGGCCCAGCACATAGTAGGTGCTCAAGGAATACTTGTTGAATGTGGGAAGAGAAAAAGCTGCCCACTCTCTCCTTTTCCCCTTCCTTCTGGGTGGAATGTGGATATGGTGGCGGGAGCTGGAACAGATCTTAGACCCAGGGTTGGAGGAGTGTATGTATCTGAGTGGCAGGAAAATGAGATTTAAAGGGGTATGTCCCACCACCACCACAAGCTTATTGCAGAGCCCTGTACTGCTTCTGCCCAGCAAAAGAAATGTCCCTCACCTAAGCCACCATTACATTTAACGCTTGGTTACAGCTGCCAGAAAGAACCCAGCTGATATTTTGGACCAAAGTTTTTATTCTCTGAGCACGTGTCTTCATCTCCCAATGGAGCAAACACCCACTTCACGGGTTTTCAGGAGGATTAAATGGCACCATGGAGCCCATGATAGGCCTGCCATAAAATAGTTACCCAGAGCTGCTGAACAGAAGAAAACTGGGCATGGAAGCACCAGGCCCCTTGAGATGAGACAAGGTGTGTGGTGGAGGTGGACGTCTGTGAATACATACCTCTGTCGGGCTGGGCAGTGTGTCCTTGGCACTCTGGTCTTGGGTGTACAGAATGAGAGGAGGGCACTAGCCCTGTGCACACCATGCAGCCCCTCAGGCCTGGAAGTCCTGCTCTTCTCAGCACCCCTGGGGACAGGGCCAAGGAGCAAGGAAGCTTCCACAAGCTGAGGAGGAGGAAGGGCCTGTAGAAGTCAGGACACTGGCAGTAATTCTGGGAAGTAGGTGGCATGCCAGTCACTGCACCCAGGTCCTACTTGAGAAGGCTCCTCTTTCCTCTAACATGGCAGGCGCTGCCCAGCATCCATACTCCCACTGTGGCCCAGAGCCTGAAGCAAAGAGGCAGCCTTCTTCTTTTCCCAGACCAAAGGCCTGGGCAACAGTAGGAGGCAAGAAAGTCACCCCTAAGGGAAAGAGGGATAAAAGGTGCACAAGCAGACATGTTTGGGATTTTAAAAGTTTATGTGAGTTTTCTCACCCCTAAACTTCCAGGCAGGACCACACAGAAAGGAGGCTGGGGCAGAAGCATGAATGCAGTCAAGCTGACCAGGCCTGTCTGCCTCTTCATGCACAGAATGAGGGAGGTGGCCATGTGGCCTCTGTGGCCCTGGCAGCTGCCAGATCTGTTTGTCCTTAAAGGCAGGTCTGGGAGGGAACAAACCCACCAGGGATGGTGAGTAAGAGCTCACAGCTCCCCAGGGCAGGGAGAGACATCCATCAGCTGTCGGAGGTGAAAGGCCGCTCTGTCCAGTTTTGACAATTCCAACTGGAGAGATGAAAGCTAGAAGAGGAGGGAAGCAGGGGAGGATCCAGATATGAGGCCCAACTCCTCCAGCTGCACCCCCTTGGGCAGTCAGGCTTCCCGAGTAGCCTGCACCAGCCTCACCCTCTGTTGCCTCTGTGTCTCTGCCTCTCCCTCTGATGGGGCCCGGGCTACGAGGCCATCAAGTTGCTTCTGCAACTTGTGCCTTCGGGCAGCTAGCAGAGGTAGATGAGTCTGGGGGTCCACCAGGCCCTGCACAAGAACGGAGAGAAACTTAGACATCGGCAGCCCACCTAGCACCACCTCCCCCTCCTAAGGACCCCTCCTCACTTTATAAGAGCCCACTCCTTCCCCTACTCCCATCCTTTTTGACCCCTCCCCTGAGGTCCAATCTCCTCTGGGCACCTGCAGCTCCATGTAGACCTGAATGGTGTCACTGAGTGGGACGTGGGCCCAGCCGGAGGGAGCCACTGCACCCGGAGGCAAGAAGCTCACAGCCCCACAGTGGCCCAGGGTGCCCAGGGGCTCCAGGAACGCCTCACAGAGCACCTGCTCTCTGGGATCTGAGCTCTGCAGCAACACTGGGGAGGAAAGGGCAATTGCTGGGGTCAGGGCATGAGACCCTACATTCTTCCCAGCCTGCACCTCTTAAGTCTGGGCTTTGCCCTCCAGGCTCTCCCATCTTCCCCCACCAGCTCCTTCTTTCTGCAGGGACTCAGGAGCCCAGGACCCGCCTCACCTTGGGGTCGCGCCTTGCCGAGCTGGTATGTGGCTCGAAGAGCTCTCAGTGCCTGCACTGCCTCCTGGACCAGGGAGAAACTCTGTTCCAGCTCAGGCTGGTGCCAGGTCTCCTGGAGAAGGGGACCCAGAGTTGACAAGAGGGCTCCTGGGAGATTCAGTCTCAATTCTCCTGGCTTTATCCTCCACCTGCCCACCCCCACCTCCTTAAAGGGTCTTTCTTCACCACCACACACAAAATTCGCCATCTCAAGGAAGGAAAAAGAGCAAAAATTGGGGAGTCATCTAACAAGGTCTTAAATGATCTGTGGTCGACGTCTGTTGATTCAATCTGATTGAAGATGGCAAACAACCAAAAATAAATTAGAATTAAAATGTATACTAATTTTTTAGAGACAGATGGCAACATAGTTACTGTGGTGAGCATCCTGTATATAATTGCTGAATTACTATGTTGTATACTTCGAACTGGTGTCATATTATATAGCAACTATAACTCAATTTAAAAATTTAATTTTATTAGCCACAGCAATCAGACAAAACAAAAAAATACAAGGAATCCAGATGGGTAAAGAAGAAGTTAAACTGTCACTATTTGCAGATGACATGATACTGTACATAAAAAACCCTAAAGACTCCACCCCAAAACTACTAGAACTGATATCGGAATACAGCAAAGTTGCAGGATACGAAATCA